CAAAGACAGTGCTTGGGGGAACTGGCTTTTAAGATGGCTCCCCCCAGCACTGGCTCCTGCTTCCCCCCTTGCTGCCTGTGATAGAGGTACCAAGGAGGGAGTGACTAATTGAGGATCTAGTCGCTTACATCCCTACTCTCTAACTAGTAGGAGTTAGGATGAAATCTTATAGGAAGCAGATTACCATATAGCTGCCAAATTAGCTTCCTAGTGTGGAGTTTCTTGCACTTTCTTCTGAGGCTTCTGGTGCTGGCTACTAGCAGAGACAGGATACTGGACTAGATGGATAATGGGTCTGATCCAGTCTGGCAAGTCCCATGTTCTTATGCTATGTCAGCATTTGGAACATCCCTAATGCCAGTGGCGGACAACAAACAGCTGATGGGCTGGACATGAGTCAACAGGTTTAGCTCCTGGATTTCCACCGCTGCTGTACTTACCTACTCCTCCACAGGTACAGCCATTTCCAGCTCCCATTGACCGAAGATCGCAGTTTTCAGCTCATGGGAGCTGTGGGAAGCAGTGTTCTGGTTGGTGTCGCTTCCCGCAGCTCCCATTGACCAGAAACAGTGATCTGTAGACAACAGGAGCTGCAAATATCTATATCTGTGGAGGCGCAGACACAAAGTGGTGGTGGGCCACAGGGACTAACCATGGCAAACCGCCACCATCTTATTGCCCGCCTCCTACCTAACGCCCTTGCTCAGACCTCTATGCAGGAAATGACTGAACTTTGCAGCGTTTGTACTTTTAACAAAATAGAAATCATGTGCTACAGGCCTCAGCATGCTTCAAAACAGAGCTGATGTGGCTCTGTGAGTGATGTATACACAGTGTCACAATAGGCCTTCTTTACAGTGAAAGCAATCCAAGAAGGAAAATCCCAAAGAAATTATACCTGTTGGTTAATGGCATATCGGCCTGATTCTGCTATCTTCACAATGCTTTTGGCAAACTCTATTTCTGCAAAAGGGAAGAACAGGTTAGTTTCTTGATCTATAGTGGCAGGGGGTTGGCTCCCAAGAACAGAGGTGTTGCTCAGCTAGGTGTTGTGAATGAGCGTCATTCTAAACTAGGCAGAGGCACCATTTCAGAATTTGGTGGATGGGGGCAACTTTAAGCATGATTCCTGCAGCAATTTTCTACTGTGTCAATAGTCCACAGTAACTTATAAACTAGTCCCAATGTAGCTCAATCTATTTAAACTATTTTTTAATTAACACTAGGGTCTATACCTTTAATAAGAATCGCTATCTTGAGTAGGGATGGGGAAACCTACAGCCCCTGGGAATGCACGGTGTCTCTCTTTCTGCTTCTCAGAGGGGAGCCACATCGGGGAGAGCTTTTTTTCTCCTCACTTGGAGGCCAGGTCAATGAGGTGGCCCAAAGTTGAGTGTGAGTGAGATGAGTCTCTCTCTCTCTCTCTCTCTCTTTTTGCTTCTCATTTGTGTGTGGCCCCAACTGATTTTTTTCTGGCTTTATTTTCCGAAAGATCCCTGTCTAGACTGGCGCTTTTTTCCGGCAAAGCTCCGAGCTGGAAAAAAGCGGCAGGCCTGTTTTTGCGGATTTAAATCCCCGCTTCATTTGCAATTGCGATGTGTCTCATTTGCATCCCTTTTACGGAAAAGGGATGCAGTCTAGACACAGCCATATAGGACCTTAGTATGAAATTCCTTTAAATATTTCATTAGTTTGTTGCTGAAGATTATAAAAATCCTTGCATAGATTTTAGATACACAGTCTGGCTATGTCCACACTACGAGTTTTCTCAGCAAAAAATATGCTAATGATGAGGGCTCGGTAGACCTCCTTTTTTGAGGAATAATGATCTTGCAGGAAAAGAGGTTTTTGCTCAAAAAGGAAACATCCACACTGCATGTTTTTGCGCAAAAACCCCAGCAAAAAAAGGGATCGGCAGAAAATATGCAAATGAGATTGTGACTCATTCAAATGAGGCCCTCATTAGCATATTTTTTGCCAAGAAAACTCATTGTGTAGACAGCCTCGGAGTATTCATCTTTAGGCTTAAATGCATGGATCTTCAGACAGGACTTAGGGCAGGGCCTTGGGGATGTGGGGAGGGTGTGCAGTGAGAGTGAGAGTAGGGGTAAGGAGGGGCTCAGGCTAGGACATGGGTTCTCAAACTGGGGGACACGCCCCCCTGGGGGGGCATAAAGAAATTTCTGGGGGGGCATGAGGTGACCCAGTCCCCCCTGTCAAGTCCCTCCCCCCCCCAAGAAAGAGCCTGGTCTGTCCATCTGCTCAACGAGTTTTGCTACTATTTTTCGCTGCTATTTTTGGCGTGATGCCAAAAAGTTTGGGAGCCACTGGGCTAGGAGGTCCCATCCGGCACAGGCATTTTTTCTCACTGCAGCCTCCCTGGCTACCAGGGGCATTTTCTCTCCCTCCAGTCCTCCCTAGCCACCAGGAGTGTTTTCTCTGCCCCCAGCTGACCCCCTGGCCACCAGGAGCATTTTCTCTCCCCACAGCAATCCCATGGCTGCCAAAGGTGTTTTCTCTCCCCTGATCCTCCTCTGGCTGCCAGGGGCCTTTTCTCTCTCCCTAGCCCTCATACCCCAGCCACCAGGGCCCTTTTTTCTCCCTCCCTCCTTCCTGTGCTGAAAAGGGTTTGGAGTATATATCTGAAGTTTCCACTTCATGCATCTGACCAAGAGGGCTCCTTCCCACGAAAGAGTATGCTCAAATAAATGTGTTAGTCTTTAAGGTGCCTCAGGACTCCTAGTTGTTTTTGCTGAAACAGACTAACCTCTGAAATTTATAAATATGTCTATTCTTATGGCGATCACACACAGAATAACTTAGTGTTCCCTTTTTCTAAAAGCAATGAACATTGTTGTGAATACACTAACCTGCTTGTCTGATTTATTTAAAACCATGTCTTTGTTTCAGTGCGTTAAATATGTATTAATCTGGAATGACTACTTTATTAAGGCTTAAGAACACATTTAAAACATCAGCTTAGAAATACTGATTAAGAGAATCAGAGAAGAGCTGCATCATGGTGTTCCCTTTTTCTAAAAGCAATGAACATTGTTGTGAATACACTAACCTGCTTGTCTGATTTATTTAAAACCATGTCTTTGTTTCAGTGCGTTAAATATGTATTAATCTGGAATGACTACTTTATTAAGGCTTAAGAACACATTTAAAACATCAGCTTAGAAATACTGATTAAGAGAATCAGAGAAGAGCTGCATCATGTATCCACACTACAAAGAAATCTCTGACAAACTTCAGGGTATATAAACAAAAATCTGAGACACATTTTTTATTCCCAAATTTAGTGCTTTTAATTAGGTATCTTCTACATGAGCAGTCTTCACAATCGGGCCTGCAGTGGAAAACATGCTCCATTTTCTTTAGAAAGAAATTGTAGAAGACTCGTTTTTACAAATGCCATTTGCTACATTTGGGTTCAGGGATTGGCTGGAAGGGGGTGAGCAGCAAGGAGGAGCAAAGAGAGAAGGGAGACAGTGGGATGCAGACAGGGATTGGGATTGATCAGGGGTACAGGATAGGTGGGGCCACAAGATGGGGAGCTTGCCTCCCCAGGCATCAGCTTTACCCACTGGCCTTATAAATGGTAGAATAAATGACCACACTGGGGTACTGCCCTTCACCAGAAAATTAGAGAATTGGAAAAAACTGCCACCTGTGGAGGTGGCAGATCATACTTCTTTCTTCAGAGTAAGGAAAAGTTACAAGTGTTCTCTTCTGCAGCACTGCTCTTGCAGCCTGGCTGTGCTTTACTTCTCCATTTATGCAAGTGTAGAACTGAAACCCTGCCCTGCCTTCCCAGTAATATAACTTTAATTCATTTCACTTGCACCTATCACTAGTCCTATTGTTCCAATGTATGGGTTTCAAACACTACCCAGGAGTCTTGGTCTAAGAACTATTTTCAGTCAGATACATAGCCTTTTGAAAAGGCTTTGGAATCTTTTTTGTAGTTTATGATATTAAACTTTTTTTAAAGTGAATTATATATGTTGGAATTGGGGATGCTAGGGAGCAGTGTGAGGATAAGGCCTTTTTCAGAAGCCTAAATTCCCTCTTGGCTGCATGCTTGCATGGGCATGCAGAAAGCATTTTAAGAAATTGAAGAATGTTAAGCTCTTAAGCAGAGCTATGCAGCAGCATGCCAGTGCAAGCAGGTTAGCCGCTGGTGGTGGTGTGATAGAGGTGGGGTTAGTGGGTACTGGGGGCTCAGCCAGGCAGCTCTCTGCTATCTCCTATTCCCCAGGGCTAGAGCTGGGGTCAGGGCCATGTGATAGCCGCCCCAGATGCTCCTGAGGTGGGCTGCATGGTGGGCGGCTGCTGGAGCAGGGGCTGTGCAGTGTGGCTGCTCCTGGGGCTGGGGCCGGGGCATGGCTGTCCCAGTAGGGACAGCTGGGGCCTCAATTTACAATCTTAACATCTGCTGAGAATTGTTTTCATTTATTCAATTTCCCATTTTT